CTTTTTTGTAACAAAATATCGATTTCTGCTGTCCCTGTATCGATACATTATTAGCAAACAAAATATCACGATACTACACAGTATCGATTTTTCCCCCACCCCTATTAGTTGGCCTGAAATGGTTTCCATTAAGTTCTCAGTGTTTAAAATATAATTGGATATTACTGAGGACAGGAAGTGAGTAGAACGGAAGGGATGCTGAGATAAGGCTTTGATGGTGTTCTCATCATTGCAAATGCACATGTTATCAATGCGTTTAATCAAAAAAGCTTCTTAATTGTTTCGAAGTGGAGTCTTTGCGTGTTTGTTTGTGCATTGGATTAGCTGTAAACTACAGCTTTTCTTTCTTTCTTTCTTTTTTTTAACAAAGATCCTGATTAATGTACTCATAAGACGGCGCCTCACACATTCGAGATAACCAGTGTAATTGATCTTTTACAAATCTCTGTTACTGCTGTATTATTTCTTTATCAAGATCCCTCTGTGTCTGTGCGCGGGCGTGCCTGTGGTTTTTATTACATAAAATTCAAAAAAACAACCCCTCCACCCAAAAAAAAAATCATCCCCTTCCCCTTTCACTGGGCCCAATTGAGTTTGTGAAATATCCAGCTGACAGAAATCCTCGCCAACACAAAATCATAATCCATCAATGAGAATATCACAGTGTTCAGATGGTTCAGGGAAATAACAAACTTATTCCAGTCATAATAACTCTTGTAGCTGACATGGTTTCCCCACAAGAAAAATTCAGTCCTATTTCAGTCAATAGATGAAACACAAGCGCTAGACTTAACGTTCGAAATGAAATACACATGGTTTGTGATTTGGCATGTGCCCAGTCACCGCACTTCCATTTATCTCAGTGGAAGACGCTGCTATGCTATCATGCTTATTCACTGCTATGCTATCATGCTTATTCTTTTTCTGAAATAATTACATGAAAGCCGCCCAATGCAAAAACGACCTCTGGGTATTGTGCGAGTAGATCTGAAAATGAAGTGAGCCAAAGAAAGTAGTGCCAGCGCTCTCCCTTAAGCCGTGCCTTCGCCACACAGCTGGACATTAGAAGTTAGCTCAGCTAGCAGGTGTAAGAATACCGCTCTGCTTTCCCAATAGCGCGCTAATAAAGCCGCTCTCTGCTTTCAAATTACTCAGAGGAATAAAAGAAAAAGTAGTTAACACGCTCAAGAAAGCTATTCCCTTCTGACTTACATTTTATTCGGTCACTAGGTATTTTGTCCCTCCTTTTAATCATGTTCCAGCTGCTCCCAAATCTCATCAGCAGATGGATTTCATGACTTTGAAACCCATCATTGTTGAAATATGCTAAACGGGTCGGACACCCTGCAGTTCAATCCCATTTAAATGGGGAATAAAATTGAGTGAGAGAAGAAAAGGGAAGAAAGCGACGTGAGGTGTCGGCGCTGGCAGTGAGACGTTAGCACATGCCGGACACTTTACCTCGTGATGGACGGCTCCTTCATGAAGTGTAAGACCTGCTCCTCTTGCTTTGTGTCTGTGCTTCACTTTCTTATTTCTTTGTGTGCGTTTCATGACGTCGTGCAGACTGCACTAATGTTTGTTTGGTCCTTTTAAGAGTAGCACAGTGCGACAAGAACTTGAGCAGAAATAAGCTCTGTGCCCTGCCGCCGCTAATGAGGGCAACCGATATGATGTTCGGTTCCATCCACGGGTCAGTAATAGAGATCGGAAGAGCAGTCCCACTCTTATTCCATAACTAGCTCATAACCAGCCATTATTGGATTTGTGATCTCAGCCCCCTTCAGATGCATATAACCGAGAGTGCTGTTTGAGCTAATTTCAGTGTGATCAAAAGAGGGTTTTTTTTGGTGCTGAAAGGCAGTTGAATGGCAGTGAATAGAGGCTTGGTAACTAATTTGGGAACCTGTGCCATTGTGCTCGTTCTGCAGTGCAAATGACTGAAGAAAACACTCATTACTCCATGAGATGTGAAGGGCTGCATGGAGCCTGGCAATGCAGTAGCATTTGCAATAGAAAGATGTTCATTGGCAGGTTGGCCTCTTCAGCTTCTGCAATTGATCCATCACAGCCAGGTTGGTTTGAATGAGGCTGAATAAAACAGAGTGCAATCACTCCATTAAACTGACACAGGATGAAATGATGACTGAATCT